GGTTCACCCCAGGGGATGGGGCAATATAGTGCAGCACAGTGCTGGGGATGCGTGGTGCAGCAGAGGACCATGTGGCCAGTGAGCTGATGGGAACACTGCCTGTACACCCAGTGTAGAAGGGAGTGGGCATGGTGGAGTATGGGGGAGGCTGTCTTCATGGAGGTGGACCCATGGGTCACAGTACTGAGGTTCCTGATGTTGCAGCATGTGTGGGGTGCAGCCACTAGCAACTTAGAAGTTGGACATCCTAGTTTTCCACAGAGGCAAGGCATCAGACCCCTGCTCTTGAAGGTGGCTTGCTGATATGCAAAGAGCAGATACGTGGGGCCCAAGAAGAAACTGTTTGTACAGATGTGCATATCTCTCAGTGAAATGGGTGTCATCTTAGAAAGGAGCGTACTCTAGGTTCTAACTAAGATCCCTACTGCCAGTAGGGCAGAACCTTTCCTAAAGCTGTTGATCCACTTTAGAGCATAAATATTACATGCAAGGTGCAGTGGGCTAGCTTTAAATGCAGTGGAGATGGGTCTGCATGACATCTAGTCTGAGTTAGTCATCAGAGCACTTTTCTAGGAAGTAGAAAACCTAGGTTGCTACTTCACTGGGTGAGTAGGGCCTGTAATCTGAGCATGTATCCTTACCACATTTTTGTGGGGCTAAAAGGTATATGGTGTAACTCTTTCCCCTCCTAGCAGATCACCTTGTAGTGTGATTCACTTCCCTGTTGTATTGAACTAGAATCCAAAACTGTACATAGATGCTAAATACTGCAGCTGTGCAGCTTTGTATACATTCTGTAGACATGCAAAATGAAATAAGGTCTTGACTGAAGTCACAAGGAGCAGGAGTAGCCACCTACACTTTGCACTAACTCACCTACATTTTGGGTTAAAACTTCTCCAGGTAATTGGACCATGTGGAACAGGGTCACATTTAACATCTAAGTACTAAGATAGCTTAGAGGTGAACTAGTGTGTTGGCCAGTATACTTAACAGAGATATTGGCTCCATGACTCATTATAAATCATCCCTCTCTACTATATGAGTGAAAAAAACATTACCTCACATCACAAATCGTTCTTCTCTCATGTGCATGGAATAGCAACAAGACTACATTTGCAGATGCACCCTCAGTCTTGAAGTCTATGGCCAAAAATTCAAATTGTTTCTGTAGGTGCCTACACTGAGGTGATGGAAAGCCAAAGTGTTAGACACTTTGCTCCAAAAGGGTGACTTAATGTGACCTTGTTTTGTGCCTATGGTCATTTTAATGGTCTTTTTAATGAGGACATTGAAGAATTCCTAAAAGCTATTAGGTGTTAGGTTTTCTAAACAGAATATGGGAGATGGGGGCACCTCCAAATGGGAAGTCATAAAGTTTGGAATTATCCAAAAGTAACAATAGTTAACTCTAAACCCAGGGGCATATCTGAACAGTCCATCATCTCAGGAGCTTTGACTCCTGAATCACACCCCATACTGGGCATCTCTATTCACTCACACGTCACCACACTTAATCTTGCCTTTGAAGATAACACATGGGGAAGGGGAGGGTCACTCTTTTGCTCAATACCTGAGTGGTTAAGGCCCCCAGCCAGGGAATAGGGGACATGGTTTATAGGCCCCAATGACAGGATTTAAGCAATAGCTCTAGGAGTTTGCCCTTGCCAGCATGCTATAAAAGTTCCTAGCAAGAGCACTCTCCACTCCTCCTGGAAAAAGAATGGAGAAGAGTACATGATTAATGGTATAACAAGGAAAAAAAAAACAAGACAGAGGATGAGTTCATGACCCAATGGGGTGGACACTTCCCTGGGGGAAAGGGAGTCTTGAGTTTCAATCCCTGCAGCCAGGTTTATGTCTGTTTAACCTATTCTGACCTAATATAAAATGCCTAAGTATTTCTGGGAACATGATACCCTGGCCTGGTAGTTATTGCATTTCTAGGATCCCAGGATCTAGCCTAGTCAGGGCTATTAACATAGTTTTCCTTGGGATGTTATTGATTGAATAACTGAAATAAATCCAGCTTCAGGAAATGGAGCTTCCAACTACTTCCTTACCTGGACTGGCATAAGATTAAGGCTGGCATAAGAATGAGGCTTCAAAGCCAGGCTCCTTCCTGCTTGCCAGCATCCCATCTCCAAAACTCTTATAATCTTCACTGCTCAGTACAGTTGCTTCAACAAGAGAAGTGGAAATAGCTCCCCAAAATCCCCAGTCTGTTGGGAAGGGCACTCTCTTGAGATATAGAGATGTGGGTTCCTTCCACTTCCTGGGTAATGGCTTTAACCTTTAGGCTATTGTGTGAAGGTTGGTAACTGTCAGGTCTGAACTTTAGCTGAATTCCATTGCATTGATAGCAGTTGAACATGGTTTGAGTATGCCTAATTATGTCTAATGGATGCTGCCTATCTGGGGATTGGATGCCTTATAGCACCCATTTAAAAGTGCTTGGACAGAAATTAGGTGCCTAAATGCTCCGTGTGAATTCCTTCCCCTACCCACGGAACATAACTTCACAGCCAATTTATACAGACAGGTGCATCCATACACACGAACACATGCATAACTCCAACATAAACATATGCCCTGCAGAAACATCCCACCCACCCGCTAATCCATATCCCAGCTTTTCCCAGGCTCTCAACACATGCCCAAACCCAGCATACCCATTGTCAACACTATTTGCTCCTCTCATGTGAACAGCTATAAGGCAAAAAAACCCCAACTATTTAATTTTACAAGACCAAATGCCGTTTACCTATCTGTGTAACCTTTGACAATTATACATCACTTGCTATTCCATGTCATGTACAATGTGAACATATAAGCACCCACATGGCTACAAAGCATGTGCAATAGTTTGAGTGCTTGATCTTTTATGTACATTGCTCTATATGCACATATGTTGGGTCAGTGTAGGTCTCAAAACTGCAGCCAGCATAAAACCTTGAAAAATGGATGTTAGGCAGAGAAAAGGAGAACACTCCTATGTTTTATCCCAAACTGGTGGCCTGAGGGCTGAAAATGGCTTGTGATGGGTTAATATGTACCATGCAGTTTCCTACCTGGGCACTGCACCTCCTTTTGCTCTTGGTTGTATGGCAGGTAGGGTCCTCCGGGCTCTGATTTCTGCTTTCTGTCTCAAATATTGGGGGCAGGGTGGTGCAATGGGACGATACTAGGGAGGGATCCAAGTTGGGCTGCCCATGCAGTGAGGAGAGGAGGTGGGCACCCTGTGCCATAAGTGCACAAGTTCATAAGTGCAACTTGGAGAAAACCTAGGCTGTGCACATGGCGTGGCAAGCTAGGCTAATTGTGTTGTGTGCACAGTGTGGGGCAGCCAGGGTATTTGGGATGCATGCATGGCAGAGGGGAGCCAGACTACCTGTAGTGCAGATGCATTGTGAGGAGTGGGGGAGCTGAGTGCATGGCTCGTGGGACCCTGTGAGACTTGACCCCATGGTATGGAGGTTACCTGGTGCCCAGAAGTTGGACAGTCCTATTTTAGCCCAACAACACAGTAATAAGGTCCCTTTTCATCAAAGCAGGAGGTCAGGCTCTAGTGCTCCCTCAAGGAGTCTGAACCACTATCTCTCAGACTTCCCAGGCTGGGGTTCTGACCACTAAGCCACAATTCAGACTTTACCCAGAGACCTCTCCAGCCCACCTTTAGAAGCTGACCCCAGGGCAGCCAAGAGAGGGAGACATGTGAATTCAATAAGAAGACAGCAAGCTAAAGGGTATATGGCTTAGCAAATTGGTTGCTGCTTCACAAAAAAGCCACCAATGAGTTTTAACCTGGACCCTTTCCCCCAGTAAGACAAGATTTCCTGCTTTGTTTCATTGCATTCAAATTACAGTTCCCCACCAATGAAGTACATCTCACAACATACCATTTTAGTCCCAGTACACATACTGCCCTCTTTCTCACATACAGAAACAGTCCAACCAGCAGTGTCCAACCATCAATTATGCACATCAAATCATTTATCTCACAAATTATAGTTTATTTTCTTACATGCAAGTAGCATTTCTTTATGGAACCACTCCAGAAAAATCAGGCACCTTGGTTTAAGGGAGGTAAGACTTTGTCAAGGGTTTTTTTTATTTTTATTTTTTGTTACTATCGGGACACCCAGGTTCACATGGATAAAGGTAGAATCTCCTCTCACTGATTGGCTATGGAAATGCAGGCAGATGCAGTCTCTGATGTGTAAAGAAATAAAAGCATTAGAATTTCATATGCCATTCTTTTACTATTTTAACTTGTAGGTTCCTCATGCTGAAGGTGAAAGGGACCATAAGATTATTACTGTGATGAGCAGGGTCACCAACCAGCCTGTTGAATGAGGGTTTGCTGTCCTAAATTTCAGCATAGATGCAGGATGCTGCTTTTGGAGAAGTCGGCATAGCTTAGTACTGGCTGCATGGAACTTTAAGTGGAAAGAAGAGGATTCCATTTTGCCGGGTCATGTCAACCCCCTTCCACTTCTGTTTCCCCATTTATGAAATGATGGAATTGACACTTACTAGTATTTGTAAAATGCTTTTGGATTATATGCTAAAATTCAAACCCATGTAAGTACTAAGTCTTAGTACTTAGAACATATTCTGGAGAGACAATAGACAGAGATGCATACAGACAGAGCAACGGCTGCTAGCTACTTAGCTACATAGATAGATGTTGATGAGCCAATGATAGATGACTACAAGTGTTAGATATTGTTTCCTGCTATTGTGGGTGTATGTGTGTATTTGTATGTGTGAGTCAGAGGCAGGGGGAGTTAGAGCACAAAAGAGAAAACACACATGAAATAGACAGTAAAGATAAATGGGTGTTTGATATACACTGGTGCTATTATTGGACAGATGCATAATACACATATATACATACATACTTAACTAATTATGTATGAGTGAAAGGCATAGTTCTAATGATGATACAGTCATTTTTCCCTTCTTTTCCTTTAACAAATTATCCTAACAAATATCCATCAAAAATGAAAACGTTTCCTGGAGAAAACCATGCTGTTCTTCAAGGCAGCCCTTAGGGCATCTTTCACTTGCTGGTTCCTCAGGGTGAAGACAAAAGGACTCATCAGAGGTGTCACCACTGTGTTGATCAGGGCTACAAGTTTGTTGATTGAGGGATCACTAGTGGAAGGCCGGACATACATGAAGATGCAGCTTCCATAGCCCAAGGTGACAATGGTGAGGTGGGCTGAGCAGGTAGAGAAAGCCTTTTGACGCCTGGAGGCAGATGGAAGCCTAAGGATGGTGATGACGATGTAAATGTAGGATACCACTGCCATAACAAAAGAACCAAGCAAAATGATGATGGAGGACAGGAAGCTCACTAACTCCACAAAGCTAGTGTCTGCACAGGATAGCTTGATCAAAGCCACACTGTCACAAAAGAAGTGGTCAATATGATTGACTCTGCAAAAGGGAAGTTTTATGACCAAGATGGTGGGGACAATGGTGGCTAGGAAACCAGCAGCCCATGACCCAATCACAAGCTGTAAGCACAATTTACTGTTCATGACCATGGAATAATGCAGAGGGTTGCATATGGCCACATAACGATCATAAGACATGATGGCCAGCAGGGCAAAGTCACTGCAGCCTAGGAAGAAGTAGAAATAGCATTGAGCAATACAAGCTGAGTAGGAGATAGTCTTGTTGCCAATTAGGAAGCTTGCTATAACCTTAGGGAGGACAAACGATGTGATGAGGATCTCCAAGCAGGACAGGTTCCAGAGAAAAAAGTACATGGGACTGTGTAGGCTACAGTCAGAGAGGATGAGGGCAATTATCATGAGGTTGCCAGCTAGGGTCAGTAAATATGAAGCCAGTAAGGCAATAGCCATGAGGAGCTCCAGATGGTGGAGGGATGGGAAGCCCACAAAAATGAACTCGGTAACCTTGGATTCATTTCCCATCACTGCAATAATGGTACCTGCAAGGACTGTGGAGAGATGGAGAGAAAAGGTCATAATAGGTTAGAAAAAACAGAGGGAGAAAGAATTAAAAGTAGGTGAAAAATAAGTAGGGGGACAAAAAAGGATGACAAAATGTAAAAAGTAAAAGCCTGGGCAAAATGATCATAATAATATATTTTTTAAAGTAGAAGAGGAACACAATGGAAAAAAGGGGGAAGGGGAGAGTAGAGTAATACTTGAAATTAAAGGATTAAGATATGAGGGTAATCATAGGTGAGTATGAGCTGGAAAGAACAGAAAATTAGTCCTTCATTGCAAAACACAGGTTTCTGCTAAAAGGCAATTTTGGACCATTCCTAAAAGGAGTAGAACTCCAGACATTTAGAAGGAACAATATTTCCTGAGAAAAAGTAAAAGTGGAAAAAAGTACAGAAGAGTAAGAAAAAAAATGGAAAACAGGAAAAAAGGAGGAGGTAAAAGCAGAAGGAAAGAAAAAGGACTGCTTGAAAATGAATAAAAAGGAAAAGACAAAAAAGAGAAAAGGAAAGAAGTCAAAAAGGTAAAAAGAAAAAGAGGCATAAGCCTCAAAATAAAAAGAAGGGAGAATCAAAAACAAACATAAAAGAAAGATTAATGGACAAAAAAGAAAGAAACAAAATAGTAAAGAATGTAAAAGTTATAAAAGAGAAAAATGGTATAAGAAGTGGAAAGAAAGAAAAAAAAAAGAAACCCAACTTTCCCCTACAAAAATGTTCAGAGTAGGGTGGGTAGAGCACCTACTTGCATTATTTCAGTTCTGTTTTGTTTTGAAGACCCCATGAATGCAAGCTGGACAACCACAGATGTCTGTAAGGTACTGTAAGGTACTGTCTGTATATACAGAATCACCTAAAAATAGATCAGAGGGAAATTTTAAAGTCGATTTTGCCCTTTTGGCTTAAATGTCAGCATAATTTGATCTGACCTCCTGCAAAAGTCTGACATGAAGAAATAATTGCCTTCCTTTTTCTCTTCTTTTCACACCATAAAACCTCCCAAAATCAGCCTGGCTGTTTCTTAGTCTTTTGACTTTTCCAGAAGATATATTTCAACACAGCTCTTCAGCAAGGGTAAGATAGATTCATTACAATAGCAGCAGACACCCATGGGGATCTATATACTGTTAACCTGTAGGAAATATTTGCAGGAAACAGAACAAAACCATGCCCATATTCTCAGGACAACTAAGAAATTTAACAATAATACCTTCTATAATCCAGTTAGCATATTTGAAATTCTTTAAATCTGTCTTGAGTTTCCATACTCCTAAAGCTCATTGTGACAACATTTATGGTCAGCCCTAAAGAAGATGTTACATGCTCCAAGCCAGATGCTGCAATTAATATATTTTGGTGCCTGGAGTGCAGGACAAAGCCCAAAGGTAGGCAGTTCAGAGCCTGATGTGACCTGAACACCTCAGAATTGCAATCTAAAAGCCAGCATGCTTAACAGGAAGCAAGCTAGTGCTAGGGAGAAGGAAACAGTAAAGACCTGAACTCTCACTGCACTCTGGAGCTTGGACATGTGAAGGAGGAAGAAAGATATGTGTAACCACTTGGGATCCAGAGCATGGAACTCACTCCTAAGGATATGGACCCAGCAGTATTCATTGAAATAACTGAGTAGGGTATATTCTTTTTTAGAAGTCAGATTGAAGAAAGAAAGCTAAAATCCTCCTTTTATAAAATAGGCTTGTAACTAAAATAGTTCCCCAGGAAACTGAAGACCTACATTCTAGCCCTTTCTCAACCTGAAGGCGTTTAAACCCATACCTCCCACCTCTGAAGAGAGTGTCCTACCTCCTGGGACACACCAGTTGCTGAAACTTCCTTAGCCTGATGAAGGGTTTTTAAACCTGAAAGCTTGCTTAATAACTATTTTCCAACCATTTGGGTTGGTCTAATAAAAGATATCAAATTCACCCAAGGAACCTTGTCTGCCTACCTCCTGGGAGGCACAGTAGTTTTGGAGAAAGTATTCTCAGCTCTCCTGTTGAAGTTGGGTCACTGTGCAAAGAATGCACAATTAATGGGGCCAGAGAATACCCAAGGAAGCAAGCGTATGACTGTGGCCTATTGCTTAGGACATTCACCTTGGGGCTGAGGATGTCAGGCAAGGTATATCAGGGATTCTGATCCCTGCTGCCAAGACTCTTTTTATTAAACCATTGCTGGGAAATAATTTATACATTTTTGGTACATTTTATATTTTAAAAATGTTTTTAAAACCTTTATTATAAAAATGTAAAAAACCCCCAAACAATCAAAATGCCCTTATCAGCAGAGATTGAAATCCCTTCCCTAACACTTTGTAGGTGGTCACACTTTTAGGACTAACTGGCTGTCTTACATTATGTAGAACTCCCCCCAGTGGCCCAGTGTGACACCAGCTGCGCCTCATTCTGTTGAAAAATATGTCCAAACTCAAAGGAGACATATGCCCAGACCAGGAAGCAAAAGAGGTGCAGGGCAGTGTCAAAGCTGCCGCTGAGAACTGGTTCTTGCAGTTTTTCAGGGTCACTATCTTGGTCTGTCCTAACAGGAATTTGGCTGGGTAAATCACTTTCCCCTCAGATACTTGGTATGGGACAGAAAACATGTACCTTGTCTCACAAAAGTTCGAGTCTCCCTTGTCAGAAAAAAATGCTGAGAGTGGCAAAAATGGGATCTAGCCAGGGAAGTCCAGGAAGGCATGGAAAACTGTTTTTTCCACCTCCTTTTCCCAGAAAGGGCAGGCCACCAATACCACCATCTCTAAGAAGGCACAGGTGGTAGTAGCCAGGGTCCCACACAAAAGCTACCACTGAAGCTCACCAGTCCCCTTGGCAATGGGCACCTTGCACAGGGTGCACTAGGTGGGGCAAGGTTGCTTTGGCATTGCTGCCTCTAGTTGCATTGGGATGGCCAGCAAGAATGTGGATGTGATGCACCTTGACTGTACATGTATACAATGCCATCCTAGACAGCAGGTGCCAAACCTGTTCTCATTGGGAATGGGAATAGATAGTAGTGCTCTCATTATTGTCCACAGTCAGAGATAGGTAGCGATGGAGATGACATGTTCAGTAAGCTGCCACCAGGGACATCTCACTACATGCACAGGGAGTCCTCTAAGACAACAGCAACGTGCACAGCAGGGACATCCCTCTCTTCAGCCAAGAGTTACAAAGCAAAGTGCAGGCACAGGAAAAAAAGAACAACTTTGCAATTTTACCTTTTATTTTTTAACATATCTATTATAAAATGCATAGTTCTGTTTCCCTGTGGGGTCCGGCCAACTCTCAGGATCTCAATATTGCGCTGTTAGACAGAAGGGTGTGACACAATTGCACATCTACAAACACACAAATCAATTAGGTGCATACACATACACACACACTACCAGCTCAGGCATATACACATCCAAACCAGCCTAGGCACATGCATACCTATCACCAATTCAAGCACATACACTATACACCCCAAAAGTTAGACCCAGAACACTAATTCATATATTATGCACACAATGACATATATATATACACACACACACTCACCAATTCACACACATACAACCCACCTACACACACATACACTCACAATGGCAGCAGGAGAAAGAGACTCGGTGGAAGGGTTGGAGTCCAGGTAGGGAAGAGAAGCAGAGTCCAAGACCCTGCTTGAAGAGAGGGTGGGGGGTGACAGCTACCTATCCAGGCTGGAAAGGGGTCTTTGTCCAGTAGGTGTTGCCCAGAGCGGGGTTGCCGGCACAGCCTCTGGGTGGATAAATGGTGTGGCATGGTGCTGGTCCAGATGGAGAGGGCATCCCACTGGGTCTGTCTTCACTGCCCCTTTTTATAGGGGCAGACTTTGTGTGACCCTAGTGACAGGAGGCATGCCCAGGCAAGGGTCAGCCCCTGGTGTACTGAGCATGTGCGCTTCATGCAGGGATGTGCTGTTTCGGGTGTCTGTAATGGTGAGAGTTGCTGGTTCTGCAGGGTCTTTTGTCTTTCAAATGCTGGGTTCTTGTCTCTGTTCCTGGGTGAGGTCTGTGGTTCCTGGAAGAATCAATGGGAAGTAATGGCTCAGTCATTACAGGCCATTCAGTAAAGGCCTGCTACCATTGTATTTCAATCATTCCTAATCACTCTCATTCATCTGGGAACCAATTTACATGGGAGTGATCATACAGTTGCAACACAGGGGATGCCTGGGCAGAGGACACAAGATGGGGACTTGACATACAAAATGGAAACTTAACATGACTTTGGTTCACTTACAAACACAAGCCTAAACCATACAATATCCATATGAAAAAATAAAAATCAATACAAAAATGATAATAATACAATATACAACAGTAAAAATCAATACAAACCTAATAATAATACAATATAAAACAGTGGATATCCAAAACCAAAAATTTGCTACTAAAATAAAAATGTTAAAGCTTATCTTAAGTCTGAGCTTGCTTATGCTTGTCTATAGGGAATAGAGAGGGAGAGAAAGAAAGGCCAGAAATAATTGGGGAAGGGAAGGGAATGCATAGCTCTCATATATATATATATATATTTAATAAGAAAGACTGGGGGTTTTGCTACAGTTCCACTAGGGTCTGGGCATGAAAACATTCATCATTACCAAACTATCATTATCATCAAAGCTTGAAACCCCCTTGACCATCCCCAATACCTTTCATGTGGTCACACTTTCAGGACTACCCAGCCTGTAGGTGATGGGCAAGATGTACAGGGTGCACCAGGAACAGCAGGCTTGCTCTAGCATTGGTGCCTCCTTGAGGTTATGTCTGGTTGGGTGGCAAGAATGTAAATGTGATGCACCCTGAGAGTCCACATGTACGGTGCCTTTCTAGACAGGATCTCAAAGCAGATCCTGCCATGACTTTCAGTGGGTATAAGGAGGGACACCAGGGTACCAGAGAATGATGGAAATGATGGAGATAGCATGTCCAATAAACTTCCATTG